GAGACTCGAGCACGGATAGGGGTAGCGGAGGCCTTGGCCGGCCTCCACGCGTGGATCTTGCCAAATGCATTAAAAAGTCCCAAGAAGCATCATGATGATAAAGGGCTGCTTCCCGATTTCTGTTCTCCCCCCTGTCGTGCTGTTCACCCCGCAGCAGCCGGCATTCTCCGTTGGTGCACGCTAGGACTTGAGCAATGGATAGGGGTAGCGGAGACCTTGGCCGGCCTCCACGCATGGATCTTGAAAGTTGCAAGAAGCTCACAACAATAAGTGATGCCCGAGCTTAGACCTGGAAACCTGAGCTGTTGTTGGGGCCCGGGCTCTCACAGCTTCTGGGAGGCCCCTGAAAGAAACTGGGAGGCCCCTGAAAGGGCCGGCCCGCTAAAAGGCCCTGGAAATTTTTTTTAGGCGCCTGAGGTCCGTAAGCCCCTTGGCTGGGAGGCCCTGAAAAGCCCCGGGGAGGCCCCTGTAAGGGCCCCTGAAACGCCAGGATGCCAGAAAAAGCACTAAGGGGTTTGGGGTCCTTTTTTCTTGAGCTACACTCTAATAGAAAACAGCGTCGCAAGGGGTCCCCGTAGGGGTTGTCCTGGGAGGCTTGACGTTGCCATAGGTTCGTTCTGGTGCCGGTCCGGAGACCTGTCCCCAAGGCTCGAGCGCCCATGTATATGGTCAGCGGCGCTCTCGCCAGTTTGGGGTTTAGGGTCTAGGGTTACAACTTGATTGGGGCTGATAATGTTGGGGACAGTAGCATTGTCTAAGCATACCTGCCACAGACAGGAATCACAAGCCATGTAACAAAACAATTTGCGCACAGGATGCGAACCTTCTGCTCCCGCAAAGACTAAGGGCTGATGCTTTAGCGTGCAGGGATCACATGACTGTATATGGACATCAGATTGCTTTCATGCGTCCTAAAAGAATACTGGGGTTCCTCTTATCATAACACCCAAACCACAGCACAGGGGTTTGAGCTGCAGAGACCATCCTTCATCAAGAAATTACATTGGGACCCCCATAAAGGTACCCCCAGTATTGGGAACCCCCAAATGCCACCAAGGGCGAACTCGGTAATCCGCCGGGAGGTTTCTCTCACCACAGCAGTGAGGCAGTCGTGGAAGTGTTGCGGACCGAGCTGGCTTGCTGCCTCAGGTTCATCTCAAAGGGGTACATAGGGATTGTATAGGTCCCTGTAAAGGGGTACTAGGGGCTATGGTCCCTTTAAAGGGGTACATAAGGATTCTATAGGCCCCACTAATTGAGAAAAAAATGGAAACCGAAATAGAAGCTACATTACGTAAAAGTATTCGTGCAAGGTTGTCAAAACTGCAACCTCTCTTCAGGTCCTTGAAATGCAGCCCTAATATTCCATCTACCCATCAATAACTTTCACAGCCCCACTAAGAAAAATCCAATCAGTACTTCTTCTCGCAGCCTAGTCTTCCCGATAGTCGAGATACCCTAAACCCTAAACACTGAGCAAAACAGGGAACAGGGGCATGTCTCAAAGTGCTGCCCCTCTGTTATTTATTATTGCAACTATTATTACTATTACTATTACTACTCCTGTTACTATTATTACTGGTATTACTTCTATTTCTACCATTACTACCATTACTATTATTACTATCATTACTAATGTTACTAGTATCACTGTTATAACTATCATGGCAAACAATACTATTAGCTATTAGTACGATTACTACTAGTATTACTTTTATTGCTATTACCACTTTTATTGCATACCCCAAGATTCAGCTGGTCCTTACTACAGGGATGCCGAATAACAGCATGTCCCGCACGAAACCGGGATGCCCAGGCAATGTTCGATAAGTGTTGAGGGCTGCCCTCGTGCATCTTCCTGTTCAGGGCACCACAAGTATACAAGGAATCTAGAACCGTAATATTTGTCATTATCGAAGCTCCTAAAGCAATTAACATTATGTTTAGTCCCCACGAGTCCCTGCGCATGCGGGTGTCATGAATCACAACTCACGTGTAGCATGTCAGCAGCTTGCAAGACGTACTGGCCCCAAGAAGCGCTGCATCAAGAAGCGTCACCTAACTACGACAAATGGAAAATCAAATGGAAAAGAAAATTGTGATTTTCCAAGCTTCTTCACCCACCTGGGGGCATGCAACCTCATTGAGCTCTATGATGGTAAATCCTGCATCACCCTCACGCATTCCACTTCAACGAACTCATTTGGGCATGTCCCGAAACTAAGGTCTTCGTCCGCATATAGCGCTAAATCAGATGATCCATGTTGAATGGAACCCAAACAACCGCACTAAACCCTACATGCTTTTACATATTCCTAAATACACCTATCAACCCCTGAAAATCCAACATGTTTCAACCTCCCAAGGAGGCTTACCTAAACACACCTCCGGTGTGCCTTATGGCTGCATCGGCCATGCGGCGGAGGAGCTCGACATCTTCTTTATAGCCCAGCCTGTATCCAGGTGCCAGATTCATAGGGATGTTATGGGTACTAGGGTTTGAGCTATAGGGTTCGGGCTTAGGGTTTAGGTTTTAGGTTTTAGGGTGCAGGGTTTCGGGTTTTGGATTCAGGGTTGAAGCTCCATTGTTCAAGGTTTGGCATCAAGCTGTCCAATTTCGGGCTTGAAGTTCTCTCTAACGGGTTTAGGGTCTAGCAATGTTGAGGCACTCAGTCCTCAGGGTTTGAGTTCAGAACTTCGGGTAACAGGGATAGGGTTGGGGTTCAAGATTTAAGGCTTCTTGCTTGCGGGTACAGTTTAGGAGGTAAGATCCCTGCTGCCGTTGGCGAATTTAATGTTCCAGCTGTTCACAGCTCGCATTACATACAGCACTGAATATGAGTTTGGTCTAAACTAAAGTCGAACCTTTTCAGAAGTCTCGATTTGACCTTTAAGACTCGAACCTCACGTAACGCGGTAACAGTATGAGTTATAGTCTCAACTCCCACTATCCCCATTAAAGACCCCTATAATACTCCCCTAAATCACCCCCTTGAAGGAGCTGCCACCTGGCTTCCTAGAACTTTAAACCCTGCACCCTAAACTCTACACCCTGCACCCTACACCCTGAACCTAAAACTGCCACAACAAAATTCTCCTCCACCTTGCGCATGCCCAAAGGAAGTTGGACTGGTGCTGCGAGGAGAAGTCATCCACAGTGCGCTTGGCAACCCGAGCGGCGCCACGCAAGAAGGCATCGTGCTTGTATCCTGCAAAATAGGATTTAGGGGTCAGTGTCATTGTCCTCTCTCCACCAAACTAGGGATTCCTAAGACATGGGCCCAATTTTAAGCCTTCTTAGCAACAGTTTTGTATCACTGTGAAAATCACATAAGTTCTCTTACAATGCCACCGGGATTACCGATACCGCCAAAGCAGCCGTTACGAACATGCTCACCACGCCAGGGAGTGCAAGCCATGGTGGACGTAAAAAGGACCCGAGCAGTGATCAGAATTGAGGAGAAGAGGCAGTTTCCCAAAATAGGGGGACCCCAATATAGACCCCCAAATACTATAATCCTTGTTACTGGGACCCCCAAAATGGTACCCCTAACTTTGGGAACCCCCCAAGAATCACACTGACAATGATGACATGATACTCTCTCAGGGCAATGCAACCTCGCAAGAGATGCTCTGCAATGCGCCTGTGATATCCCCCAAGACCTCTGATTTCTTATGGGGACCCTACTTTGAGAAAACCTGAACCCCTGACCCTCAGACCTCAGCCCACATCCCTTCACCCCAAAATCCTAAGTCACCCTTTTTCTGTGCAATCTCTTACCTCAGAACAAGTGTAAACCCTAATCAGAAACCTGTAGAAGCCTAAATGATTATATCAAGAATATCACTGTAAGTATCTAGAAAAAGTATAAACAAGTGGATCCAAATCAATTATTTAAGCCTCCAATAATAGTAGTAAAAATAGTAATAGTAATAATGGTAGCAATAAGAATAGTAATAAAAATCCCAGTTTTCATTTCATTTTCCATTTTCTTATCCATTTGATTATCCATTATAGTGGTTTCCATTTTCTTTTCCATTATCCCAATATGACCCCAATATTCTATCTACTAACTGTTGATACCCTAAACCCCTAAACCCTAAACCCTAAAGCAGAATAGTGATAAAATTGTCCTGCAGTCCCACAGGCCCACATCACCTGGACCAGATTCTGCGGGACAAAGGAATCGATCTGCGCGGCAGCGGAGTCCTAAGCCGCGCTAAGCCCTAAACAGTAGCTTCCATTTTCTTTTCCACCATCCCCATATAAGCCCTACATTATATAGTAGTTTCCAATTTCGTTTCCATTGCCCCTTTATAAGCCCTATTGAATCACAAGCTTCGGAACTCAGGGTTTGAGGCACAGGGCGTCCCATCATTAAAGGAACCATCAAAACTGCTGTGAAGATATCACAGGCTAGGCTGGCGATCTCAATTCCCACCTCAAGATGATGAAGTATATTGCAAGCAAGGGGCTCGCAGGGGTTTCCCAGGGTCTCCCTATGGGCGGGGACTCCCAAAATCCTGGGTGGGATTTAGTGTATACATTAGGTGAACCCTTCACCCTGTAATAGTGGTATAATGGGAATATATGAGGACCCTACTATGATGACCATTATCCCTTGAAGTCAGTATTGCCTGGTGGAGGTTCCACCTGAACCCCAACCCTAAACCCTGGACTGTTGTACGCATATTGAGGCCCTCTCAACTCCATAGGGCGTCTACCTACGGTATGCGGTTTAGAGTTTAGGCTTCAAGCCCTAATCCCTAAACCCCTAAGGTATAGGGTCTGGAGTTTAAGTTTCAAGGTGCAAGGCCTGGCACTTGACGTGAACGCTGGCACATCCCACGCGCATAACTCAATAAAATCCCAAACGAAAAACCCTGAACTTTAGGGTTTAGGGTTTAAGGCTCGGGCTTGGACCCTCAGGCCCAAATTAAATATCAAAACACAAAGTTCCGCCCGAAACAGGCCCAAAGCTTAGGACCTGAACCCGATACAGTTTCTATAAACCCTCAACCCCAAATCCAAAACCCTGAAGCCTAAACCCCCCAAACCAAAAATTCTAAACCCTAAACCCTAAACCCTCAATCCTAAACCCTAAACCTTGTATATTCAACCCCAAAAACATTGAGGCCCTGGCGCAAAGAGCTTCGAACGCAGCTTCGGCCTTGAAAGATAGCTTGGCCAAGCCCCAGGAGATCAGGGCCTCCATGGTTTTGACATCTGGGTTTAGGGTTTGGGGTTTAGGGTGTAGGGCTTAGGATTTGGGGTTTTGGGCCTAGGTTTAGGGTTTAGGGTTTAGGGCTTAGGGTTTAGGGTTTAGGGTGTGGGGTTATAGTAGGGGTTATATTGGTGTTATATAGGGATAATGGAAAAGAAAATGGAAGCTATTATATTAGAATAGGGTATATATTTGGGTTATATTAGGGTCATATTGAGTAATGTATTTAGGGGTTCGGGGTTTACTTACTTTTGGTTCATGGTGAATAAGACAATGGTATGGTAGTCCCAAACTAGCATTCCTCCATTCCCTGCTAACCAGCACTAGTTTGATTTTATGTTAAGCTTCGGCTTGGGGTCAGGATGCGGGCTTCTGAACTTATAGTCCCCCCTAAGCATATAGAATATGGCTTAGGGTACATTATAATAAGATCCCCATATACCCCATGGTTTTTTCTACTTAAGGGGGACTATAGGGTTTTGGGATCTGGGGTTTCCAAGACTCGGGCTCGGGCAGAAAGGGTTGAGGGTCATGACGTGGTTCAGAGTTTAGGGATAACCTGAACCCCAAACCCAAAATCCTAAACCGGGGCTTAGTCTCTGGGTTTTTGAGGAATCAAGGTTCAGCAAAGGGTTTGAAGGATTTTGCATCTCAGAGTACAATGCAGCGCTCCCAGGTGTTGGATCCAGGCATCTGACTTACGGTTGGAGGTTTTGGGGTCTGGGTGTATGAATGGAGGTGTTGGTTCCGGGAAAGCTCATATGGTCAGGGGTTACCTTGCAAGCGTAGTGGAGGTTGTTAATCCCTTCGGCTTCCTGGGATAGAGTTAAGGGCCATAAACATTACCCTGCATAGCTTGGTAGAGGGTAAGGTAAGTAGGGATGATAGTCCACGATGAGTAATTTTTCCTAAAAGAATACCCCAGCTCCTGTGAGACACCTTGCAAGGTTCAATATTCCCTATATGTTGGGGGCAACCTTTCACGTCAGCAGGTGGGGGGTTGTTGAATATTCGGGTGAAGGGATTATTTGAGGAAGTTCGGCTCACTCTCCCGGTCCTCCCAAACCACCAGCACGACAATCACATATGGGGCATTCTCCAAATAGAGGCCCCCAGGACACTGGGAATGTGTCCAAATATGTATATACATAGAAACGGATTGTAAAGGGAACTCAAGGGGCTTTTGCAATGAGTTACACATGGGTTGTTTTAAGACACTTCCCTCCGAGCACAACCGCTGCATGAAGCTGCAGTGTGAAAGACATGTTCAGACCTTGAGGGTCATGAAGAACATGGAAGATCTGTAAAAATCCGAATTTATAGCTGGGCTCCTGGGGGGGCAGGGGGTTCGCTGAAGTAAGCTGATGTCGTGGGCGTCTTGAGGCATAGCCCAAAGTCGTTTGAATGCTTGCTGTCTGCTGTAACTTGGTACAGCATAACAAGCACCTGGACTTATTGTAGACTACTGAAGCTCAAACCCTTGCCTACATGATGAGCCATAGTGAGAAAATATAGTATCCCCCTTGATAAGCCTTATAATACTCCCCGATAGTCCCCTCTATAACCCCCTTCAAGGAGTTCAGACTATAGCACATGGATTCACACCTGTCGGCAGGAAGCCCAACAAAACAAACCCTGGCTCATACCTAACTCAAACTAAAACTGAACCCAAACCACAAACCCACCCATTAGCAATCTATAATAGGGGTCATAATAAGGGCTATATACAGCTGTATTATAAAAACTATCCAAATGCTAATGAGGGCAGTACCCAGCCTAAACCACTAAATAGTGAACTACCAACAATATGTACAGCGAGGAGCCCTCGCCCAGGCAGCTAAGCAGTGTTTCTTCAGTGCTTGCAACAAGATACTGAGAAAATACTTTAACCCGCAAAAACATACAACTTTACTCAATACTGGGGGACTAGAGTATCCTCCAAAAAGCACTACTCAGCTGAGGTGCTATGTTCAGCGGCTGGAACTCGTTGGACCGCGCGGTGATGGCACCTATGGCCATCCGGAGGAACTCGTCAATCGAAGGATCGTCTTTATACGACACGGTAGCGATGGCCTCAGGAAAAATTGAGTAGGACAACCTTGTAGACCCTTGTATAAACCTTTTCTATCCCAATCTCGGCCCTATGTCATTATGTTAGCTTGTTACAATTTGGGATTTGGGATTTTTGCGGTTCGATCCTGATCCTTGGGGCTTGAGACTGGGGCCAGGAATACTAGCAGACCGATTACAGACTGCAGTCCTCCTTGCTTCAACTGGCCGCGGTCCTGTTCCAAATCTGACAGTAACAGGACAACTCTTATCTTCCACGATTTGGGGGATCCTTTCCCGGGCCTTGTCTCCTATTTTCCCTCCTCGTGATCTACTATTCACCCCCGAGCCCAAAGCACATGTATTCCCATGCTTCTTTTTGTTGGTGCGATGACTACTATCATTCCATAAGAGGTAACCAGCAACGACAGTGATACATATTGGCCAAAAGAAGCTGCCTGCAGAATGGAACAACTCAGCAGGGTCTCAGATGATGCCAAAACCCTGAGCCCACAAACCCACAACACCTAAACTCGAAAACCCTCACACTGAAAAAAGCTTTGTAGCAGCTAGTAGCCAGTAGAGGAGTGGATCCCTATATAACCCTGCGTAAAAGCCCCTCAAACCATTCCTTCATTCCCTACTACCACCACTAGGTAAGCACCTAAACCGTAAGCGTCTTCAGCTCCGACCTACAAGCTGCCCCAACAGTAACCCTCCAAGCACTCGCGAGTACTCCACACACATCACGGTTCCAAAACCAACGCGCTCATAAGCCCCACCTCACAGCGAATGCCTGCCCCTTAACCTCAAAAAAGGGGTTAGCCTTCAGGCTTTACTGTAGGATCCCTTAAAACCCTAGACCAAAAGTCTGGGTTTCCAACCTAGTTGGTTTACTGTAGGATCCCGTATTAATTAAGCCTTGAAAACCTTCAATCGGAGGCGAGAGGCCCAGATTATTGTCGCCATGTTCTGACCGGTAAAGCTCCGCATCAGCTCCATGGAGCGCCGGGCGATGTAGGCCATCCTACTTCATACTTAGGGTTTGGGGTTTAGGGTCTGTATTGGGGTTATATAGGCAATAATGGAAAATAGAATGGAAACTACAATAGTATATTGGGGTTATATAGGGAATAATGGACAATAGAATGGAAACTACAATAGTATATTGGGTTTATATTAAGGTTATATTCATGCAGTAATACCACATCTGTAGGCCTCCTATGCACCCTCACAATGATAATTGGAGGAAAAAGTACAGTCATCATAAGGTTTTCCTTGCCCTGAACCTGCAAGTACTCTTGGGTTTGGCTTTAGACTTAGGGTTTGCGAAGCTTTCAGGCTTGAGGTTTGGGTTCAAGGTTTAGCATTGGGGGATCTTTTGGAGTCTTGTCTTGACGTCGGTAGCTTATGTTTAGGTTTTAGGGTTTAGGGTTCAGGGTTTGGGGTTTAGGGTTCAGGATTTAGGGTTTAGGGGTTTAGGGATTAAGATCTGAAGCGGACTATGTCCCTGCCTTCTTCCCATCCCCTCAGCCTGTAAACGCAAATTCCTCACGCGTAAGGGCCCTTCAAAGACAGGACGCTGATCTTTGCCGGGCGAAATACTTGAGGTTCCATGTTCACTGGAAAGAAAATGTACTTAAGCTATATGTAATCCTCCATGTCAACCCCAAACCCCTTACCTTGAATTTTAGACCCTGAAGCTAATGGGTGTCCTAAACCCCAAGCTAATGGGTGTCCTAAACCCCCCCATGCTAACCTTCGTTGAGTTCCCCTAAGCTTCAACTTATCCAGGGATAACGGGGAAAAAGCCTAAGGCGGGGGTGGTGAGGAAGCCATGATAAAGGCAGCCCAGCGTCAAATCAGGATCATAGTCGCCCCGGGTCGCCAGGGCCCAGGCTATCATGGAAAGCTCAGAAGGAGCATATTCCTGCAACAGGGCTTTGGGGCTTTAAAGTTCAAGTAATCACCCTTAGGGTTTAAGTAATCACCTTTAGGGTTTAAGTAATCACCCTTAGGGTTTAGGAGCTGCAGTTTTGGCTGAAGGTCTGGAATTCAAGGTGTGGGGCTGAAATGAAGGATACCTTTCTGAGGGTGTCCATATTCTGGGGTGTAAGATTTCTAGGTACATGAGGGGTTCCTAGTCTTCATGGACACTCCCATGTGAAAGGGTAGACGGTATGCGATTTGGGTAACATTCCCTTACTCAGATACTTGGGAGCAAACTTCCAAAAAAAGATTTCCGTCGCGCGCATTTGGGGCTGAAAAGACCCTCACAAGCTACTTTGAGGTTTGGGGGGCTTCGCAAGTTGGTCATAGTAGATTATAAGCAGTAACCCGCACCAGGGGGACTTGTAGCCAATCTTATAACCTACTTACTAAGTTTCCAGATCATCCGGGCAGAGTCCTCAAGCCCAACATGGAAGACCCTCAAACCCCTTGGCCTCAAATCCCTACACACCCCAATGACCGTCAAACCCTTGACTTACCCCCGAGGCTCTACAACCAGCAAATCACGGAAAAACCCTGAAAACCCCTTCAGGACCTAAACTCCAAACCGTCGAGCCCCTAAACTCCTCAACCCCCACAAGTCCTCAAACTTTCCGGAACCCATAACCCTTCAGATCCACCTACCAATCAATGTTGGGCGTGTTACGAAGCACTAGCATCATCTGAAACACTACTTATAAGAAGAAACCATGAGATATAAGCTTGCTACAACTTGGCTCTGTTTTTTCCCACGGAAAACCCTGCATATCCCTAGCAATCCCTGTCCACCCCTGAATAATCCGTTTCCAAGGGACACGAATACCTGATGTTAACTTGGGTTTTGCACCCACGGAGCCTTGAGACGTAAAACTCGGTTCCGGATCGCAGTCTTCCAGGCATCTCCCACAGGATACGCCAACTTGGTGAAGGCCCAGTTGACCTGAGGCTTTGAGCTTAAGGATTTTTTCAGCATTAGTGTGATGACTGTTCTCGAAATATCTGTATTGTCACTATCTTGAACTTTTTTTGCAATTGAACAAAGCAAGATACTATCCTTCTCGCAGAATGCCCAAACCCACAAAAAAAGAATAGAATCTTACTCTACGTCCAGGACTATGGGAGTCCCAGGTGAAATACCATTCACCTGAAATTTTGGGCTTAGGGATTGTGTTGTTGGGTTGGATTGTGGGATTCTGGCATTTGAGGCTTGGGGTTTGGGGGTCTGGGCTTCTGGCTTGTAAGGTTTGGGGGGTCTGAGTTCTCAGGTTTGAGGTTTATGACTTCTGGGTCTGACGGTTTAGCGTTCTGCAGTTTTTGGATTATGGGATTGTGCGTGGGAGGTCATCAGTGAAAGTTCGGTTGGTTTTTGGTGGTCAAGCCAGGTAGAGTTATATGATGTCCTTAATAATCCAACACCCAGCTGTCATCTTAACTTATGTAGGGGGCTATAGAACGCTTTGCTAAAATACTACCAACCTGACATATTGTATATGGTGGTCGAACCCCAACACAAAGTCTTCAGATCAGAAGTGAAACCCGAAAAGGACACGCACTCTTACTTTAAATAGGAAACTGTAGTATCCGCCAACTACACGCCTCAGACTTTGAACGGCTGTAATTCTCAAGTTCAGAACATTTTCGCTCGTCTTTATAGTTTCGGGGTTTAGGGTTCAGGGTATGGTGTTGTGACATTGTCAGGCTACCAATCTTTTGGCATAATCCATCCCCCTAATAGTAAACATTCTATATATATTCTAATATACCACAAAGGGAGTATTTAATATGATGGGGCTGAGAGGACCTAATATTAGGGGGAGGGGAGTAAGCCTGCACCTGAGTTTGATCCACAGTTTAGGGTTTGGGGGTAGGCGGCTGCACCGTAGGTTTGCATGAGGATTCCATCATGTTCATGCTTTTTGCTTTCAAGGAAAGCACTGATTGATAAGGAGATCACACAGGGGCAATAGATTACCAGGAATCAAGAAGCCCCCAACATGGTCATAATTGGGCCCTAAGTCCAAATAGAAGCGGGTTCCGGCTACCCGTGAACCTGCAAGTTCGGATATCCCTACAAATTCCCAGAATCCTGCCATCCCGACTTCTCTAAAAACCGGGCTATAGTCTAATCTCCCTTAATAACCTATACGACTCCCCTACAGACTTTTAAGGAATTTAGACTACGTACAGCTAAATTCGGCTTTCCTTGGACACTGCAACTCGGAGCTCCTAATGCCGGGCCACAATGGCAAGCTCCTGTGTTGTGAACTCCTCCAGTCGGCGCAAAGATTCTTGCCTCATTGCTGCACGTGGTTTGATGTTGTGCGGTTTGCAGACACAGTAGTATCTGATAGGTGGACCCCCCCCTGTAATACTGCTAGAATGGGGGTATAAAAGAACCCCAGCGTATAATCTGTTATCCCTTATAATCACCATTACTGGCCACATCTACTTGTAATGCGAATGCATTCCAGCTTTGGACCACGACCCAAATCTGGTGCGATACAACAATGGCCTGATGCGCAGGGTTGAGGCTTGCCTGGAGGGTCATGAGAGCTCAGTAAGTAGGTTAAGAACCCCTATGAGCCACATAGTAACCCCTTACTACGTCTCAATGACCCTCGAAGTAGGGTAGTTCGGGACTCCGCGTTCAATGCTGTTTCAAGTGTCAGAATGAAGGTTTCTTCGTAAATGCAAAAGCATAATGGCTTCAAGATCCCCAAGCCCCCAGGCCGGAACCCCTAAAGCACTACTACTTGAAGACCTTCACCCCTAAACCCCTAGACCCTGACCCCCGCGCTTTAGGAGATGAACGCAAGAACTTTGACAGCTGGCTGTTGGCTTGAGGAGACACCACCTTGCAACACCTACATAGGGATAGTGGATACTCAAATTGAAAAATTAACAAGGTTTAGGTTTTAGGGCTTTCTCGACTTAGTAAGGAATTGGGAATTAAATGGAAGTCTCAGAGCCTCTAGCTCCCTACCCCAATTCCTACATCATGCTCCCCAAAATGGGGTAGGCGTCTGCCAGGCTGCAAAAGGTCTGCATGCAGGGCATCTGAGCGCACACCTGGGACTTGTCTGGGTAGGGTTTAGGGTTTAGGGCTTAGGGTGGCCATATCCCTCGTCAAGGGATTCTTGGAAAAAGCTCAGGCTGTTCATTGCTGGGATGAAGTCTTCATGAACATATAAACTTCAAAAAAAAAAAACGCGTTTTTGGAAGAGCAGCCGTTGCTCTGGAGGCAAAGACCTTCCAAAACCTTCCAGGATTTGTGGCACCACTTGACCAAAAGGATGATTGGCTGGAGAGCAGTCCCTAGCTTTTTACGGCTTAGTTTACATTCTGGCGCACTAATAACTAGGGTCGTGGAGCTCCCTGTCCAGGGTGGCAGACAGCCTTAAAATCATTAACTAGCACTCAGCTGACATCGTGTGACGTCAAGAAGACTACCACATGTTCCTTGAGGCTTGAGCAAGAAAGAAAGACTGCTCCTGACAAACTAGACATAGCCAGCAAAACCCACTTTGAGGCGCCTGGTAGCCTAGAAAATCCCTGTCAAGGGTTGCTTCTTCTGTGGGAAGGGGGCGCATGCTCCACCTTTTGCGTGCGAGACTGCTGGAAACTGCAACCTAAAATAACAGCTCATTTTTGTGAGCACAATATTCATATATACATATTTGCAGAAGAATATATGCGTATACATATACATGTATATACAGCAAGCAGTCACAACACGCACCCAGTTGCATTGCATTGTGCTTTCCTCCAGATTTCCTGCTCTAAAAACAATTTGATGTCACTATGGCGGAGGAGCTCCTTCAAGAGAGATTCGAGAAAGCTCATGGCTGAAAATCGACGACCAACATGCGCATGTTTTTGGGGTCCAGGTCAGGGTTTGGGGACAATATGCTTTCAAGCGACCTAGTGTTGCATTGGCCCAAATCAGGTTCGAGATGTTCTGCACACCGAAGCTGTCCTTAGCTGGACCAGGATGCAGGCTTGCAACTCGCTCTGAGACTGCAAAAGGAGCCCATCACAAGCCGAAAGCTTTTCACAAAAGTGGTGGGCTTGCCAGGTCTAGCCATCTGATCCTTTTCGCTTTCATGTTTGACCAGACATTGAATCTGAATGGCTTCTGTCTTCTCAAGGATTCGTTGGTTGATTGATTTCTTTGGCGGTTTGGCACAGGACGCCGCGCGGACTGAGGGGTTGGGAGCCAAACTGTACGAATCTTATAGGCAGCATGTAGGGACTACCATGCGATGCATTCCCCTTGCTTACTCGCCGCCAGTAAGCAACGGCCGAACCAAAACCCCAAAAGAATCTAAAAATTGGATCCCCTAATGACTATACATTGGGTCAATCCCCCACCCAGTAATGGGTACCACAAGGAAGTATTGTAGGTATATTAAGGCCCTATTAACTCCATATTAAGGAGCCATTACTATAGGGGGGATTGACCTAAACTATACAGTGGTTATGTATGGGCTGTATGGCTTTACATGGGGAATCTGCTTGTTGGATCCTCCCAGGAATCTGGGAAGGCTTCAAGAATCTCTTAGGAGGACCCCCCACCCTGTAATAGTGGTATAATAGGGAATATAAGAGGACCCTAATATAATCCTTATTATCCATAATAGTCACTATTACTGGGTGGGGGGTCCACATAAAGAATCTCCACCCTAAACCCTAAACCCTGAACCCTAAACCCTAAACCCTAAACAAGACTCTCCCTCATCTTCAAAGCAAGCTGCCAGCTTTTTGCGCGACTCTCCAGCAATGGCAGCTAACAGCGCCTCATCTCGCCGAGCCACGGTGGCCTTGCTGCTTTAGGGAGGATTTAAGGTTTAGGGTTTAGGGTCTAGGTTTTAGGGTAGGGTTTAGGGTTTAGGGTTTAGGGCTTGTTTTCTAGGACCTTTTCTGGGTTGCTGTTAAGGAACTTCAACTGAGTTACCATAATTGGTATGTATAGCAATTAATATGGTTTCCCCAATATAGTAACTCAAATTAAGTCCCTTAACAGCAACCCAGTTTTTCCACCTGCCTGGTGAATGCCGCTAAGCTAGTTACTAGTTCAGGGTTGAGGGGTCTAGGGTGGCTGGCTGTGCCATACTGGTGCCCTAAGATGGCTGGAAAGAATCGCCATGATGTGGAGAAACCCTTTGAATTGAAAAGGGCATACTCAAAACCATTCATATTGTGTTTGCCAATATGCTTTCTAATTCCCTTGTGTAAAAAGCTGTAGTCTCAACTCCTAGCATCCCCCTTATTAATCCCTACAATACTCCCCTACACAAGCCCCTTTGAGGAGCTTAGACTATACTCTTATGACTTAACACCACCTACCTGGCCGTCCCCATGACACAAGGCCTGCTCAGCGATCCAAACAAATACCCTCAAAAGCCAACCATGTTCACCGATTATATTGTAACTGTATACTTCAAATTGGGGATCTTCCATTCTTGTGACCTCTTGCAGTGCACATGATAGGACTGTTCTTTGAGGGATGCAAAGCTCTATGGGTAGCAATACTCTCCTCTTATCATCCACGTTTGTAGCTTACTTATGCCGTGCCAAATGCTGGTCAAATTATTCAAGCATCCAATCCAAATAGTCCCCTGCGTAGTCCCTACATTTCCTACATCATTATGTTATAGACCTCTCTTTCCGTTTGGCTGTTCATCGTTCAAAATCATTCATGCCCCACAGCCCAAACCGCACCTGTAACACCCTAAACCCCAAGGCCTACACCTTCAACACCCCTGAACCCAAACACCCTCAATCCTAACCCTCCATGAACCCCTAAACCCTAAACCCTACACCCTATATAAATCCTAAACCCTAATCCCTGAACCCTAAATCCTAAACCCTAAACCCTGAACCCTCCACCCTAAATCTGTTTCGGGACAAGGTGACAAACGACCAAGCGACGATTGCCAAGCCCTGGGGATCCAGCTCCTACCAAGTTCGAAGGTCAAGTCATAGTTCAAGGGATTTAGGCAAGTCATGGTTCAAGGGATTTAGGGTTTAGTGGTCAAGTCCTGGTTCAAGAGATTGAGGGTTCAGGGTCAAGTCACATAGGGTTCAGGGTTTCATGGTCAAGTCATAGTTCAAGGGATTTAGGGTTTGGGCCTTCGGGATCTAGTCATAGTAGAATTGGGGCTTAGTGGTTCGGGTCTAGGCTCGAAAACAATGACCCCCTATGCTTGCCCCCCATTACATTCATTACATTCCAACCTACGCGACGGGAAGAAAAGTTTTGTTTGTTCACTGAACCCTACACTCACCCTAAATCCTAAACTTAAACTCTGTGGGAGGGTTGCGTATATGTACCATTGCAGTTACTTCTCTATGCGATATTTAGGGATCTACACCCTCAAACGATGTAAGTGTTCGGGGCTTTAGGATGTGAGGGTTCAGGGAGCATTCCAGGTCGGGGCGCTTCTGGTTCGAGGCTTTGAGGCTTAGGCTCTGGGGTTTAAGGTTTAGGGTTTAGGGTCTTGGGTTTAGGGGGATTTCCAGCTTGAACACTTTAGGGCCGGGCATTGGGAGCCTGTCGGAAGCTGAGTAATGTCTTCTAGAAAAACTTGAAAAATCAGCTTGAGGACCGGGACTTCAAAGCTTCACGTTGGCTTTGATCAATTAGGACCACACTGCCTACTGTCGCGCGCAGTATCATTATCGTTGTTGTACAAGCTGCTAGCAGTGCTGTCAACAAGCTATAGTCTAAACTCCTAGTATCCCTTAATAAGCCCTACAATCGCCCCCTAGACAATCTCCTCGTAAGGAGTTTAGACCCTAAACCCTAGACCCTACATTCAGGGTGTTATATAATCCCTGAGAAAACCCGAAACCCTAAACCCTAACCCCTTTAAGGAGTTTAGACTACAGCTCACTATGTCGGTACCAGGAGGCCTTACCCTGGCTCTGGTTCCTCATCCTGCCTTTTACCGTGGTTTAGGGCTTAGGGTGTTGGATTTAAGGTTTAGGATTGAGTTTAAGGTCAGTTTCCCTACTCCTTATCTCTCGCAGGCGTTTTGCTCTAACCGTGTTCATGCTTCCTGGCGTCATTTTTGTTTTTGAGGTGATCATGCCATATAGTGACCATGATTAATCCGGAGATGGGTATTACTAGAGGATGGAAAAAGAATGTAAACTGTCATACTACAGGGATGAGTTGGGGGCAACGATAAGTATTAATGCTGCTACTTTCATCCTGAGTAGCATCACAATGCTACCTTCTGGGCGCCTAGTTTGATAGAACCTTTCTTCTTGGCATTGTTGCTTCCAATTTGGTGGCCCAGCAAGAGCCAACAGGTGCCTTCTCAGGCTATCAGGATTGGGTTAAGGGACTTCAAAACTTTGAGGGGCTTCAACACTTTGATGGGCAATCACGGTCCAGTCGCGTTTTGGCGTACTTCAAGTCTGAAACTGGTCTATCAGAACCACTCTGCATGAACCAGAGACACCAGTATATCAAGCGCTCATGCAGTGTTTTGTCCATCAACCCTGCAACCAGCATCCTAGGACGTATGCTGCCAATTATGCAGCTCGGTCCACTATGTCATCTTTAAGACAACCTCCATGCAAGCATCCAGCAGCCACACAACCTCGGGCGTACCTGCCAGCACCCTATAAAACCGTATAAAGCCAATGCACACGTTGAACCCTAGACCATAAGCCCTCAGAACAGCCTGAATGATGCTCTGTGCGCGAGCGGACAGACGGCTGAAGATCTCATCGTCCTTGCACTGCATTTTGGCCTTGGCTTCCAGAATCTTGGATTTAGGATTGTTTTGTCAGGTTGAGGGTTCAAGGTTTTCAAGCCTATTGAGGAAGTGTCGGAAAGTGAATACTACTCATAAGTTACGTTTCTACACTGGCCCAAGGCCATACCCATCAAGCTAGCAAGATCCCCGAGAAGGCGTAAAAATCTGAACCCAACATCCCGTTCTTAGGGTTAAGGGTTCAGGGTTTAGGGCTGAGGGATTTTGAATCTTTGAACTCTGAGTGCATCCCGCTTAGCCGCTACTTCCATTAAAGTAGTTTCTATTTTTGCCAGAAAACCCCAATATACACCCTAGTATACTATAGTAGTGTCCATTTTCTGGTCCATTATCCCTATGACCCTGATATCCTCCTCACACCGCGTACATTATCCCTGTTCGAAAATTGCATAATCCTGGTGTAAAGTAGGCTCAAGGGAGGCATCAACGACAGCACGAGGCATAGTAATAACAAAACTAATGAAACAAGTACTATCTGATACAAGTACTGCAGAGTACCATATCCTATAATACTTTTGCAGTAAAAAAAAAAACAAAAGCAGCAGCCGCACACCCTAAACTTGTTCATCCTGAAACCCCAAACCTGAAACCCTTAACGTTGAACCTTGAACCCTGGACCCTGGACCCAAATCATAAACCGCAGTAGATCACAGACAACCACCCTAAGTCCTACCTGTATATACCCTATCTCCCCCTATAGAACCCCTTTAAAGGCACCCCTTAGTGCCTTAGTTTGGGAAACCCCAAGTGCTTGCGAGGCCGCCAAGCCCCAAGTGGCATCTGACAGTCCCCAGGCGGAGAGGTCCTACCGCCATGTCGACAGGGGTTTAGGGTTTAGGGCTTAAAGTTCTGGAGTCGAAGCTTAAGAGTTAGCGTCTAGGGTTTTGGGCTCAGGGATGAGGAATTCCAGTTTGCGAAACGGGGTTGTAGTTCACACTTTCAGGCGCAAGGTTTTGCATGCAGGGCTGGGAGTTCACTACAACAGCCACTGGAAGAAAAGCATTCTAGAAAAAAGCTGGAAACGGAATTAGCCACCTTTTACCATCTTCTCAGCTTTCAATCTTAGGGCCTCTATGGTAAGGTGTGATTAGGGCTTAAGGTTTAGGGTGTGGGGTCGGACCTTCCTAGCTCTGGGCGTCCCACGTTCTAGTATGGAGATTTCCAAAAATTAGGGCTTCTTTGGGAGGGTGCATACAATAAGGGGGAGGGCATGGCTTTCGTTGTCAAGGCCCCAGAGGTCAGGAATGAGAAGGCCTGTAACCACCGTGAACAAGCACCACAGCAACATGATGGTTGCGTTAGTGGTAGCCAGCACTTCCTCAGCTGTTGTGTGTGTTGGCAAGTCGCCTAGACCCTTAGGCACGCAATGCAAGTAATTTATGTATGGTACATCACGCGAGGTGGTGTTTTCTGGTCGCATAGTTCTGTGAGTGCTTGAGGTCCACATCGCCCAACATGTCCCAATATTCCCTAGGGTTTAGGGTTTGCAGGTTCCCACGTACCAACTGTGTAAGGCAACTAGCCGCTTGCTTTTTCAGGCCGATGAAAACCAAAGTCAATGTAGTCGTCGTATCTCTGGTGTGTCATCATCTGATGCAGTCTGTGTTGTATGATGTTATTCTTGTCTTTGTTGCCGACATTGTCGTCCCTTGTAACCAACAACCTTGTTGTGTCGATTCTTCTGCTATCATTGGGGTGCACAAACACTTCACATACAACGAGGCTCATCTGGACAGCCAAGCTCTTGCAGCATGGGATGCATGTGGCAGGCAGACTTAGACTGAACCTGAACTGCATCATTCAACTAGTACACGCTTAGTCTGCACCCCACCATCTTCACAAGGGTCAACATCCGCATGGCTGTGAGCAACCACCCCGGAATCCTAACGCTCGTTCGTGTCAGGCCTGGTTTAGGTTGGCTTCGGATCCGAGTCTCGTAGCTTAGGCGGGGGAATGACCGCTGGTGAGAGTCGTAGTAAGATTACTCCCACTGCTGCGCTTCGTGCTTTCAGGTTGTGGTGCTCCTTGCACTTCGCGCGAAGCAACTGCAGCAACCGCAGGAATCGGTGGTCGGCCATGGCAAGCTTAGTCTCGCCTGCCTCCACCTCAGCTTGTGGTTTACGGCTTTGGATCTGGGTTCTTATTATTTTTCGACCCTCGGACTTTCACGCCTGCAATTTTGGGGGTTTGGGGTTCAATGAGAAAGCCAAGGGACGACCATGTAATATCAAACAGTCTCTGGTATTCTAATTGCAGAAAATTAAAAAGGAAAGCAAAAAAAACGACAACAGTGCTCCATAATACACGAAGCTGAGGCCTGGAAAACTCCTGAAGCGACTTTGGGTTGAGGGTATGGGCTAAGGGTAGAAACCGTTTAGGGGCTATTCATTACTGCAGGGGGGAAATGGACCTAAGTGTGAAGGGCTGGAAGGAGCCAAGGCTAGGGCTCAGATTAAATAAGGTATAGTCTAAACTCTTATCATGCCCCTGAATAACCCACATAATATGGGGTTTAGGATTTAGGGTTTAGAGAATGGGGTTTAGGGTTTAGGGATTAGGGTTTAGGGATTAGGGTTTACGGTCTAAACGCCCAGTATCCCCCCTGAATAACCCCCTGTAATACTCCCCTCTACAATACCCCAAACAACTACAACCCCCTTTAAGGAGTCTAGACTATAGCTCAGATGCTACACCTAGGGTTTAGGGTTAAGGGTATGGAGAATCAAACAGAAACCCAATGGAAACTGCCGTCCATCGAAATGTATGGGGTTTATGGGTTTATGGGGTCTGGTGGTTCCAGATATGGGGGCTGAGAACTACATCCTTAGGGTTTAGGGTTTAGGGTTTATGGAATACAGCCTCTACAGAGTCCTGAGTGGAGACTACTATAATTCCATCATGACGCCAGAATATGCTCAGTCAAGCAAGCTTTGCACGGGACATGTTCCTAAATACTCCGGGGAACCGCTTAGCACAACAAATGATGCGATATTTGCATAAAGTACAAACCATATGCAGGTCATGCACTCACTGTGCCCTGATGATCCTCCAAACACCTCATCGAAGGAGCATTTGCTTCCCATCCTGTAAGAGAAGAACTTTGAATTGTCCTCAGGATCCGTTTGTTATCACGTGGTGTCTCCACTTGGTCTTGGGATAAATGCGTAAGGTTCGCGGGTGTTGGATGAAGCCTTTCTTCAGCCCCCCGAACTTGACCAATAAGTTGAAGAACTCTAGCGCATCAAGCACAATCAAACAGTGGAATCATGAGCAGGAGCACATGAAAGTTACTCAAAACAATTGAACACACTGCTAAACGAAATTGTCCTAAGGACTACGTAAAGTTTATAGGAGGATCATGCTGCTGAGTTCTTCGTAGACATCAGCAGCGTCTTTAACCACACGAGGTCTTCATGCTTCAGGTTAGAACATTTTTCATTCTAGTCTCATCTGCCTGTCCTTTCTGCACTTTCAGCAAAAAACATGTCCTGAGGTCTCCGCACTGGACTTTGCAACTCTGTGCACTGCCGTAGAGGTGTTCCGAAAATCGAACAGATCGCCCAGGTTATCCACAACCGCTAAGACCTCATGACGGCTCGAACTGGGTACTCATGAAACTCATAAGCTTTCCAACAGGTACCACAAATCTAGTCTTTGTTACAAAGGCACCCCAAAAAAGCAGAGCGGACGTGGCGATTTTCAAGATCATGGGTTCCGCTTTTGGGATCCTCATCATACGAACTCACTTGATGAATACCGACATATATATATATATTGCATAAGAGAAACGCAAGGTCCGAGGCGGATGCCTCATTTTACAAATACACATGACCCTTGGAACAACCCGAATGAAGCACCAAACCGTGTGGCAAGGTTTGAGTTGAGGTTCAGGGTGTAGCATTGAGGCCTCAGGCTGTACAAGCAGGGTTTCGGGTGTAGCTCTTCAGGTTTATACGCTCCAAATTTCTGACCCGTTAGAAATTAAACAACCTTTGGAAAGCTCGTCGGTGGAAACTTCGCGAAAGACATGGTAGTTTCCCTAAGACCTAAACCCTTTTGGCAGAATTTCAAAATATAGAACCAAAAATACTATTGTCCTTGTGATGGGGACACTCAAAAAGGAACCGCTAATTTTGGGAAACCCTGCACCCTATATACCCCTATATATAACACCTATATAACCCCTGTATAACCCCTCTATCCCCACGAAAGGTTACTGGAAACTACCAAATAGGCACTACTCAACGGAAGCTTGGAGATTGGTAGCAAATGACCCTGAAACCGCGTTAGAGAACACGCGGAAAACGAAGTTTCCACAGATTTCGAAACCTAACGGCTGTAACCAAAAAGCTTGGCCCCTTTGTGGTCTGTAGGGGATGCCCTGAATCACTAAACCGCGTACCCAAAGCACAAATCCTCAACCCGAAACCATCCAATGTCCGGTGGCCTCCCGCCAGTTTCTGCATTCCGTTACTGAAACTTGCATCTCAATCCTTGGCTGATCCCAATATGACCCCAATATAATCCCAATATAGCCCCTATATAACCCCAATATGATGGGGTAAAGGTTCGGGTTTGGGGTTCAAGGCTTAAGGTTCAATCAGGGTTTCGCGCTCTTAGATTTCAGGCTTGCGCAAGTTCAGCTCTGGGACTCAAAAGGAGCAGCGATGTTCAGGAGATCTTAACATCATCGCAACAAAAAAAGGTCGTAACACCACCCAATACTGGGCTGCTGTTAAGGAACTTCAATTAAGTTACCATAATGGGTATATATAGTAAATAATAGGGTTTCCCCAAAATAGTAACTTAATTTAAGTTCCTTAACAGCAACCCAAAAAAAACAAATCGTAACATCACCCAATATCCTGAACCCAAGGTTCCGGAATCTTAGTCCCCCATTTGGTGGGATAGGGTTGAAGCGAGCACACAATTCCAATGCAATCCACTTGAGCGGATCCCGCTGTAGAAAGCTACATGATTTTCAGCATCACCCCTTTGTCATCTTCACACTAAGCCTTACGCTTTACACATCCTGGAATGATATACCCGAAATGGGCTCCATGCTAGCGTTGGAACGTTGAACTGCTGAAAAGTCGCGTCAGTTGTTTCGAAGGTGGCGGCGGCCTGTAGATGTAGCCTCAAACACAAGAAGTTTCTCAAAGCAAGGAGGCCTATTTCCCAATATGCGAATCTTGACACATCTTAAAGTCTTGAAGTAGGAGCACATTGCCTGGAGGTTTTCTTACTGGTTGATAGCGAGGAAGAGAGGATGCAAAAAAAATGGAAGCAATCATGTGCATTTCTTGTTGCATTCCTTGCTTCCCAAAAAAAAACAACCACAATTCTCTGGGGCACAAAACCTGGCTGCCGGGCTGGGTACTGTGATCCCGAGTTTCTAGCAGATTCGAGGTGTTTGCGGCCTATCTTGTCTCACCCAACCGTACAAAACCGCGCGTACTCAGTGCGAACACATGCGTACCCCATCAACTGCAAATTGCCGCTGTTGCTGCACTTGCTGGTCGTGATGACCTCACAGCTGCTTGCGCGCGTCTAACACAATGTTCACGAGTTCAACGCTAGCCCCCAAATCCCGAACTGAACCCACAACCCCCGAACCTCAAATATCTCTTGCTTGAGACGTGGAGCCATGTGGACCCAGTACACAACCATTGACCTAAACAGGATTTTGAAGGGTTTTTGGGTTTTGAACATTATTTGGCTTTATGGTTTTCGGTAACTTAAGTCAAAAGTTATGGGTCATTCGGGGCTAAGGTTAGGGGCCTGCGTTAACTCTAGGGAACTACACGGACTTGTACGAGTTGTAACTTTTTAGGGTTTGAGAAGGGTAGAGCTTGTAATGATAACTTTTCAAAGGTTTGAAAGCATGGTATAAGAAGGGTGATTGTTGCGGAGCGCTCATGTTAAAATGATTTCGATACTCATGCTTTGTTTCGGCTTCAGGACCCTCAACGTTGCACATGTTGCAAAAACACATCCAAGAGCTGGACGGACATGCTGGGGTGTGGTCTTGCAAAAAAAAAAAAAAGGATTTCCGCATCAGACCAGCCGACGATGTCATCCTCTGAAATCACACTGTCGGCATGCGCCATGATGGACCAGCAACTGTGGTTCGTGGATGAAACCTACGTTTAAGGTTTAAAGTTTGGGCTTCAAGGTTTTGCATGCTTGTGTGAAAGACGTGGTGACAGATGCTGACATGTGCAGTAGACTTCTTACATTTTTGAATACATGTTCAACCCCTTAGCCTGTAGCAGGGCGTAGGTAAGTGTACAAGCGGACATTTATGTTAGCTATGACGGAAATTTGAAAGGATTACAAGGTATCACCTAGTGAGACCTTAGGTTGTTCCTCTTGGAAAAACATATATGTCAAATATGTTTGCTACAAGCCCATTGTTGTTTTGTTGCCACCTCCTAGCAAGTCTGCTCGCAATGAATATGGAAAAAATTGTAACCTAAATACGGAAACCTGAACTAAGCTGAGGGCGTCCTGCAATCATGACATGCTTCGCGCGGTCCACAGGCGCTTACACTTTAGATTCGCAAGCCGAACGTTGCACTGCAAGCCGTTCGAAATGACAAACATTCTCAGTTATCAGGGCCAAAATGCATCATGAGTCCTTTTGGGTGCACCTTCCATGTGGCAGCCGCATGTCGGCCCAATGTACAAAACTACACGCATCTTCTTGCTACAAACACAAAAATTTAAGGAGCATTGACAAATTTGAACAATGTGTGCCTTAGACAAAGCGTCTCCAGGAAATCAGTAACCAAAAGAGCGGGGTAGCTATGCTAACAAACATCACTGTTATCTGCAGTAAGATCAACTTGCAGGGTTCCAAATTTTGGCGGCCAAACATATGTTGATTTTGTATGCAAAGAAATAAACCACCATTTTGCAAAAGTATGTAAACATATGGCAGGTCTTCTGCCTGACGGGTTTGAATCCGTTGCCAAAACAACCGACCAAAACAAGAACCTCCCTGGGCGGCGCCGGGTCGGGGACGCTGCCCCGACACCGGCGGGGAGCCCCCTGCGCACGCTTCGGAGCCTTGATT